AGGCGGAGGGGGGGTCCGGCGGCAGTTGATGGTGGTGGGTGGCATGAAGTTGTTTATTAAGCTACATTATAGCTCAAATGAACCTTCCTTCACTTGAAATAGAATAAAATAGTAAAATGTCAAATCATATTTTGGAGACAACGTGGGGGAGAGGGGGGAGGCTTGTGAATGGGGACGAGTAGAGAGAGGAGGAGGCCGGCTTTGGCCATGTCAAGTGGTGGAGTTGGCGTGGTTGACATGGGAGATTCCTCCATCGGCAACAAGACAAAGCAGGCCTCGAGCCTTCATAGACTAGGGTGGGCCGGGCTAGTGGTTTGATGGGATCGCTGAATGGGACAATTAGAAGAAGTTGACTTCGAGAAATCAGTAAGTCAATGCCATGCTTTTTTATGGGGCTTGGCCCAGCTGTGCCTCGGGGGCTCCATCAAGACAATATTGTCAATGTCAACTCAGAAGGTCCTGTTTTTTCTTTTTTGCCATCACAGTTTGCTTCTCAATTTTTCTTCGATTCCAACAAATGCGCTTGGGGTTTAAATAAAGATAAATATAAATTACAAAAATAAAGCAAACTTGATGAGCAAGAGATGAAGGTTACAAACACACAAAAAAACTTAATTCGTGACTAGTGATAATTGCCTGCAATTATTTTGGCAACATAGGGTGATTGCAGTGATTATCTTCCTCACTAATCCTTTCTCGAGCAACAATTATATTGATTAATGATCGCTACCTCCCTTTTCTTTTCTTTTTTCTTTATATATAATTTTGCAAATAAGTATACATTAACTCATAATAAATTAACTTTTGATTTTAACAATCTTGATTAGAGTAAATATTTTTATTATAAAAAAAAACTACTAAGGACTTAATGTTTTAATGTACACAAAGAATTAAAATATTATGAATCATTATAGCTTAATAATGCTTTCATCATTTCCAAAAAAAAAAATCATTAAACTAATCATTGAAAATACTATAATTTTTTATTAAGATTTATTAATCATTATCAAATTGATCCAAGATAAATTAATTTTTTATATTTTAAAAGTGAAATGAAAAGATTAAATTATCCTTAAGAACAGGATTTTTAAAACTGGTGTTTTAGTTTTTTTTATTTTTATTTTTATTTTTAATTATAATCAAGTTAACCAATAAACACTTTAGCATTTTAATAAATATTAAATATAATTAAAAAAATCACAAATATTTGGTATGTGCGGCACACTCATCAATGTGTGGAGGCTTTCGTCATTTTTTTATGGTGACAAGGCACTTATCAACAGAAGATTGATGATACGGCTTTGATGGATTATTTTTTATTCTTTATCCTAGCCTCATGTTTCAGTTGTCATTTCAAAAGTTAAATGTGCCGTGTTAATTTATAGTTGTATTAAATTTAGTTTTTATATATTTTTTTAATTATTATCTGTTTTATTTTTAATATTTTTTAAAATTAATTTTATTTTTTAATTTCATCGATTGATATATGATTTTATTTAATTTTTATGTTCAATTTGGTCATTATTCTTTTCTTTCTATTTTTATATTTTTTATTATTTTCTTGATTTTTTTAATTTTTGAATTTTATTACTGATTATTTTATTTTATTTATTTATTATATCAAATTTAACCTTTATTTTTTATTGTATTTTTTTGTTTTTTTAATAATTTTTTTGATTTATTTATTTATTTATTAATTACATCCTTCGCTATCTAGATAAATGATAATTTTGGTTTGTGATATTTTATATTTATTTTTGATGGTGTAATCATGGTTTCATGATATTATTTTAAAGATTATCTTGATTTGATTTTAATCTTTTTAGATTATTTTTTAAAATTTATTTATTTTTTTAATTTCATCGTTCGATATTAAATTATTAAACATTGAATTTTATATTTTATTTTAAAAATTAACCGAATCATATCATATTATAACCATGTTATTAAATTAACCAAGTTTACTTGTTTCATTTATTTTTATGACTTTAACCCCATATTTTTATTGATTCTTTAATAATATTATTATCATCTAAGTATTTTTTTTATTTGAAAAAATTTACCCAATTTGTAGCGCAATCACTTATCTAGTGTAATATAAAATATATTATATTATATAAAACACAGAAAAATATAGGTTTTTCATTATGCACACCATTGTTCATTATCTCACGTTTTATTATTGATTTACTGGTTAAAATTTATAAATATCTTTTTTTATCTATAATTAATAATAAATAATATATAAATATTCAAAAAATCTAACCCATGAATACCTCACCGCAGCATTAAGTATCATAGTTTTTAGATTTAGTCTAATAATTAATCTGGCTTAAGATCCAGGTTATCCAAGTCAATTTTTTTAAAATTAAAATAATATTATTTTAATAAAAAAACAAAAATATCACTCAGTCAACTAGATAACAGTCAATTGTTTCCTTTATTTTTTCTTTAACTTAGTCCAGGGTTGGCCGTCCCAAAACTACTCCGAGCCTTTTCTTATATATGCAATCCCTTCTCGTCCATTTTCTGTAAAAGGTTTAGATTGAAATATAAAAATTAAGTTGGACAAGTGCAAAGGGTGTTTGGTCTAGTGGTATGATTCTCGCTTCGGGTGCGAGAGGTCGCGAGTTCGATTCTCGCAACACCCCTTTAAACTGTGAAAAAATAAATATATTGTTAATTGTTTTTTAAGCCCACAGACAGAGCCCAATCTGGCCTCCCTATCCCTAGGGTTTAACAAGAGGTGTAAACCCCTAGTCCAGCGCTCATTTTGTTGCCCTCTCTCTCGACAACCACACTCAGAAAATCTTTCTGTCCTCGTTTCAGTCATGAGCCGATCAGGCCAGCCACCAGATCTCAAGAAGTAATCTTTTTTATTTTTATTTTTTTATTGTTGCAATTATCTTTGCATTCGTCTCGTTTCTTTTCTTTTGCGAAGTTGTAGTTCTCTCTCTATAATTCTTTTATTTTATTATTTTTTTTTGGGTTTTACAGGTACATGGACAAGAAGCTTCAAAGTAAGCTCTCTTGAATTCCCTTTTCTTCTCCTG